TAATATTTAGCAATACTTAAGAAACAAAATAAGAATTTTAATATATAATATGTGAGTATTTAACATTTTTTGNCTCCGTCAGCAAGTACTATAATTTATATAATATTTAGCAATACTTAAGAAACAAAATAAGAATTTTTAATATATAATATGTGATTATTTAACATTTTTTGAGATAAACTTAATATTCTCTAATTTAGTATATAAAATGTATTTTTTTTAAATAATTAAAAAAATTTTAATTTTTAGATTTGATAAGATTTAAAGTATTTTACCCAAGTATGGTGACCAATAACTAAATGTAGCCTGAGGTAGTTTTAAAATTGTATTTTCAGTTTATGCTTACTAATTCATTAATAAAATTTTAATTTTAATATATATTATTTTTATAATAATATTACCCAGACTCCTTTATTTATGGTTTATTATACAGGATTGTAAATAATAATAGTTAATTTACATTTAATATAATTTTGCTAAAACAAATAATTTTTTTCTTTACAAAATTTTAGAATTCTCAATTATTTCAATAAAAAATATGCGTTTTGCTGAAAATTAATTATCCTCTATAGTTTGCTCCTTAATATAAAACAGTAGTAGTTCAGTAATTTTTATAAAACCTTATAATAATACCTGTTTAAATTTTGACCAGTATTTTAATATTAAATCATCCTCTTCTTTTGAAAAAATTCCTAATTTCACAGAAGGATTCATAGTTTTAATTAATATCATTTGTTCTTTAGTCGGATTGCGGGACAATCTAGATTCTATGTAATGAATGGATATTTTTTTTTTTCTGGTAGCTTTATATTTAAATTTTTAATATCCTGAAATTAAAGAAACAAAAATAAAATTATATGATTTAACAGAAAATAACTTTTAAGAACTGCATTAGTGTACCCCACAATATTCATATTTTTTAAATATTTTATTTAACATTTTCAAGCCATATGATTTGAGCAAAGTAATTTCTGAGGGTGTAGCCATTATACATTTAGTATTAATTGATGAATTAATTTTTTTGAGGAACTGTTTTTTTACTATATTCATAATACAACTTTTATATTTTTTTGCTTCAGATTGAAAAAGGTTTTCAAATATCTTTAAACAATTTATAGTAGTATTCACTTCTTCATCATTGAATTCTTCACTTAAAATATTTAAAATATCATCAAACTGAATATTTTCTTTATCCAATACATTTCCATCGGTAGGTTCTTTAAATGATGAAACAAACATTTTAGAATTAACAAATTTACAATTTCCACCTTGTAATGTTGCAGAATTTATACGAGTTTTTATATATTTAAATCTTATCAGTTAATAGTGTGTGCATTAGGTATTATGTATGTCCCCAATTATAAAATTAGTTTATATACCAATCAACCGATCCAATGGTCAGTACCCGGTTTGTTGTGACAGTGCATCCCTACACTTTTGTATTCTCCCTATGAACCAGTTCAAAGTTGGCACCCCCACCACCCGGCGACATCATGATCACCGGCCACTACACAAATGCCGCTACAACAGATTTTTAACACGCTTATATTAGTTTCACTTGTATGTATGTATGTATGTATGTATGTATGTATGTATGTATGTATGTATGTATGTATGTAACTCTTCAAACGCCACGCGTTATCGCGTATCCCGTCGTCTATGGCCTTGAGACTAGACATTCACCCCTCCCCACGCCACGCTAACCACACGAAGGCACACTATTCCTATAAAAATTTATTTTTAGTTATCGTACCCGTACACGCGTGCTTGTCATCAATATTATATATATATAAACAAATTTTTATTTTGACTGACCAATAACGCCCGCGTCTAATGCGCCTTACGTATTTATATTTATATATTCCTACCATCGTTTATACGTCAGGTATAACGTTAGTCCGACCCAACCCGCCCACAAAATACGGTTATACCTAGTGCATGATACGTTTACGTACTTAAGTCGCTTTACTTGTAAATATATATATTCTAATTACTATTAAAATTTATTTATTAACACGCTTTATTTTAATTAAGAGATATAAAGTATTTATTTCGATTACGAGGGATGATTTCCATATCGTCATTTTTCGTCACTACCTCCATGTTTCGGGAGTGAGTAATTTACGCGCCTGCTGCTTTCCTTGGATGTGGTAACCACGTTTTTGTTTTTTGTATTTTTTTTTGTCCTCCGTTTTTTTTTTTATAAAATAAAACGTTGAGTCGACCGGCCGTCAACCAGGCTGTTTTTTGTATTTTTTTTTGTCCTCCGTTTTTTTTTGTATAAAATAAAACGTCGAGATGTCCACGATGGCGTAAGACACAACTATGGCCGGTGGTGAGCCGGCACTCCTCAAGATCAAGTACAACATCAATAAAACCCCCTTTTTAATTTGTGTATCAAGCACCTCCTTTTTTTTTTTCTTCTTCTTACATATGAAAATATATATATTTAAAATAATAATTATAAAATTTAATCATTAATTATAAAAAAAATGTTATTATATTTTGCATGGCCTCTTTTATTTTACTCTCCATACTTTTCCCTCATTTTTATTAATATTTGTTATTTTTTGTTCTTATCAAAACCTAGTAGCTCCGTCAGCAAGTACTATCTTGTTTGGCGCGGCTACTAGGTCACTGTCCAGTGTTCCCTCTGGGCAGTGGGTAATTAGTAGGCCCTCTGTTTGGCTGAAACCTTACAACCTTCATCTTTCTTAAATGTATGAGCAATACATTTTTTTCTTTCTATTTTATTTGAATTTTGTTCTTTCTTATTTTTAACTGTATTTTTACAATTTAATTCATCAGGTTCTACACAGTTGGTTATTGTTATATCATTATTTTTATAAAACTTATTTAGTATTTTGTTATTAGTGCTTTTATGGACACTTTTGTCATTACTTTCATGAGTATGTGAAGTATAACGGTGCTTTTTATATTTGATTTTGTTTACAATTTCATCATTTTCAAGGTTTAGAGAGCTAAACTGGCGTTTTTTAGTTTTAACTCTATTTGCAAGATCGTTTTTATACTCTGATATCAAACATTCTGACAGTTATCCTTTTTTTCTAGGAATAACATCTTAACTGATTTTTCATAGACATTTTAATATTTTAAATCTCAAGCAGTAAATAATGCCATATAAATTAGAATCGATATTAAAAATGATTGTATTTTTATTAATACAAAAAACAAATTTACTTTAAAAATTTATCATCAATTAAAATGTACTTGAAGAAAATTACAAAGTTATTTTGAAATTTCCAATATATTAACGAAAATAAAAGTTAAATAATTTAAAATTTGATTCGACTAAATAATCACATTTTTTTTAACATACTGATTGTGTCTGTTTACCACATTACCAACATTTAAAATGCCGCGGTTCGTATTAGTGATGGGTTGGTACTTATGTAATCGGTCCAAAGTAACAAGTACATTGGTGGAACGAGTAGGACCGATTACACTTGGTCGTTACACTATCTTTCCGTCGGTACAAAATACAGTTGATCCCCAAATGATTAAAATAGTGACCTGAGTACTTGATTAGTTCTTGCTTGTTCGGAATTGTGTAACTACATCCTACAGTTACTGTCTATTTGGTAAACCGTTGACTAGGCCGCCCTCTTCTTACTGTGATGGAAAACTAACGCTATCCCTTGATTTTTTAATAATCTTAAATAAACGGATACTAGACCACCCAATTTTATAACTGCTATTGGTATCCATCTACATATTATTAATTAGTGATGGGCATAATCGAATTATTAGTAATCTAGAGGATCTCTAGAAATTTTACTCGAAATTAAAATCATTTTATTATTTTGATAATAGTAATCGAGATTATTCTTAATGATGTTTAAGTATGTTTCGATTACATTAAATACATTTATAACTTATAACCAAATTATTAAATTAAATATATGTAAAGAAATATGCATAAGATGTTTCAATAATACTACGGACTAATGTATAATGTATGTATACTATTATTGAAATTTAAAATATACTAATTCATTTACGAAATTACGATTATTTTACTTATAACCGAAATATCTTGATTATGCCCATCACTAGTTAAAATGTGATTATTCATATCAAAAAATATTCTTAGTCTTTTTTTTAGCTTCGATGCAAAGCTGAGAATGTATTGGTTTTACTAAGATGTGTTTTTTTTGTGTCTGTTACCACTTTTACTCAGCTCTCACCGAACCGATTTCTTTCAATGATACGTCAAAAGATCATAAATCGTATCTAGTCGAAGACATTACCCTCAAAAATTGAAAAAAATTCCCTCGTTCCCCGTAAATGGGGAAAACCTCCAAAAAAATTACAAATTTAAAAATCGCTAATTTTCGAAATTTTTTCAATTTTTTTTACTAAAAACTGCCGTAACTTTTTCAAAAATGAACATATCAATATAATTTTTTTTTTTATAGATGCTTGATGTCTTTACTTATCATTTGGTATAAATTTGTAAATTTGACCTTTTTTCTGCCCACAGAGGGGGATTTAAAATGACAACTTTTTCACAAAAAATTAACTTTTTCAACTTAACTTTTTAACTTTATAATGCTATGNAAAAATTAACTTTTTCAACTTAACTTTTTAACTTTATAATGCTATGATTGAAAAGTGTATGGATCAACATTATTTTTTTATGAGAAATAATATTTTTTAATAATCCCTTTTTCATTCTACATACTTTATCTTAATTAGGATATAAATAAGAAAATAAGAGATTATGTTGCTTTTGAAATAATCCACCAATTTTTTAAAATTAAACACTATCTACAGATTTGCATCGAAGCGTTTCTTATGATGGTGATTTTAATCACTGTCAGATATATCTATACTTGTCCCATCTATGCCTCGTCCACACTGTACTTCGACCCCAATGTGCTACCGTTTTTTTTTTTTTATCATATATGAGAATATATTTGAAAAGACAAATTAGATGTATTTTTGTTTTAAATAATTAATTATTAATTGAATCTAATTGTTTTAATTAAGTTAAAACAAATATATTGTTCTCGTCATTATTAATATGCAGAACTTTTCTTTGATACATTCAACCTGTTTAATTATCAATATTGTTATTGTATTCCAAATAATCTTCTTGGAATTTATATTCATGATTACTTGATCTCCTATAATTGACTCTGTCGTACGTCCCGTAGTGCCCCGACGTACGACACAAAAAGTAATGCACAAATTAAATAATGTTTTTAGATGACGAGTTCGTCTTAATTAGCAAGTGGTACAGTTTTGGCTTTTTACTCTCCAACCTGAGGGTTAAGGGTGCGAAGAGAATACCGAGCAAAACGGGTACATTATTTTTTTTTTGTTTTTGTTTGTTAGATCGTCGCGAGTGGCCGATTTGAATTTACAGTTATTTAGTAAGCTCGAGTGTAAGAGCGTCTAAGTGAGGTTAGGTGATGTAGTGTTGCTTGGAGCTACAGTATCACGCTGTAACGGTGGTCACGCCGCGGTTGATAATTCAAATCAAAACGTGTTTATTTATTATAAGTGATAATATTCGATTTTCGGTTCTCAGGGCACTAACGGTTATACGAATTAGTTGTTTATTTATTTATTAATATTTTTTTTGTGTGTGTTGTTTTTGTTTAAGAAAATAATTCGTGAGTGTTCGGTTCCCAGCGAATAAAATGGCTGATGAGGAAACAATACGCGCACCAACATACACCGAACTTATTAAACTTGTAAATAATCTGAAGGCCCAGGTGGATGTCCTACAAAGTGTTACATCGACTTCCTCCACTATTGCAGCTAGTAAGTAAATGAGACTGAATACAAAACCAATATCTCAAATGGAGTATAGAGTAATTCCGGATCTCAGTCAGTCTGTGAGACCGTTAACTGGCCGGGAAAAGCCACACATAGCTGATGACTGGCTTAGATCAGTGGAAAACTCAATTCTAGTATATTGCTTAGATAAAATATAAAATTTCAAGGTCACATGTTAATCTGGTCGTTATTTATAGTCGTTTGAAGTATAGATATGGTTACATTACGGTTATTTCAACATAAAAAAGGTCTTTCGTTGTAAAGTTTTTTAACAAGTTAATAAAAAGTTTTTTCGAAATTTTTTTTTTTTTGTTTTATTAAAAGTAAAGGTCAAAGATATCAAAAAAAAAAAATTTCGAAAAAAATTTTTTTTAACTAAGTAATGATCGTTTTTGAAACTAAAAAGCACAATACTAAAAATTACCCTATTTTACCCAAGTATCAATGCATAGATATTGTAGAGCAACTAGTCTAGATTTCAAAAATATAATTTTTTATTGCGGCGGATAAAAATAACTGTGCATAAAGCTAATAAGATTAAACCAATTCGTACATTTTTTATTTACAATTAGCTTTCATTTATTTCAATTTTTAGTATTGAATTGTTTAGGTTATTTATTTAATCTTCAACGTTCGATTCGGAATTGACAAATAAATTTTGCACATCAATAGAAAATTAATTTATACTTTTTTTTTAAAATAATTTCATTGGAGATATATATGGATCACTTGATACTAATAGCATATGCATCAAATCTTTATTGGTATAACATTGAACATAACAGGAATAGATATAAATTTAGTAAAACGATTTGGAAACATACATTCAGCAATTTCCCATGGAAAAAAATTAATGTAGATTATTTTTATATTTATGCCACGGAAACAGCTAAAATTTTTACTGATTTATACCTGTGGTATTATATGCCTGCTAGTGTCCACAAAATGTTAATTCATGGAGCGGACGTAATACGATTCGCAATACTTCCGATTGGTATATATATATTCATTACAATCCTATACATAAATTAAATTGAGTAACAATTTATTCAAAAACATTTTTAGTTCAACTTTCGGAAGAAGCCCTGGAACCCAGAAAAAAGATTATAAAAAAATAAGTTTGAGGTATAATACCAATAAGATTTCATGCATATGCTATTAGTATCAAGTGATACATATATATCTCCAATGAAATTATTTTCAAAAAAAACTTGAGACTTATGAGCGCCTAAAATTTGATTTCAGACCACTGTGCATTGGGTCGGATGCACACCAGTGAAGACGCATTGTTGTCAGATTTAACATCCTGGTGTCGCATGACTAATCTGAGATCAGCAAAGGGGGTAATTCTCTAGAACAAAACAGAAATAGCAGAGGACATTGTTCAAATTTTAGAGAAGACAAGACCAAGGTGGTTTAGAACAAAAACTTACTTACCGATAGTAAGTGACCAGGAGGCTAAATTCCAAAATAAGTGGCCAAGGGCTTCTTGGAGAAGCAGTAAGCTACAAACCACTGATGGTGCTAATACTGATAATCGAATGGAGCATAAGGTTGGATATATGACCCATGAGTGTAATAGGTCTAAAAGACCGAGGAAGTATTTTAAGTGTTCGGTAGAAGGACATATGGCTCGGGATTGTCCAACATCTGCGAAAGTGACAGTTATAAATAATAATAGGAGCCGACGACAGAAATATAAAAGAAATAACTATTAACGACCAACTTGTCACTGTGCATGGTTTAATAAATACAGGGAGCGATTATTCTTTTATTAAATGCAGTGTGGTGGATAAATATAAGTTACCAGTGGTACCTAAAACAGTAAACTTCATGGTATTCGGAAATAGCCAATATACTGTGAGTGGTGGGAAAACTACGGCTGTAGTCAAAATTGATGAGGTTTAGGAACCTTTAAAGTTTATGGTAGTGGATGACAATAAACAGAACCATGATATCATAATTGGTAGAAATTTTACAGACCTGGAAGGAGTAACTTTTGTAAAAACAATCAATGGATTACATTTTGGACATGGAATTGAATTCCCATTTGAGAAAGAAGCAACCATTGATGACAGCATGGAGGTGAAAAATCAAGAAGTAGTACTAATTGTTCAGAAGGATGGCGGTCTAGAAGAAATTACTATGGACATAGTCAACTATAATTCTAATTTCAACCAGAGACAAGTAAACGAACTTGTTAATTTGCTAAGAGTTCCGAATATGCTTTGCGTTTAGTTTACAAGATTAGGGTGTACTAGTTACATGACTATGGACATTGTGGATACAAATTTGCCAGTGGTAAGCAAGCCGTATAGAGTCAGCGCTTCAGAAAGGAGAACGATTGACTCCATAGTACAAGAATGGAAAGATAAAGGGTTAGTGACTGAAACTAAGTCACCTTATGCATTACCAGTTCTACTTGTGCCAAAGAAAGATGGAAAACAACGTCTTGTGATAGATTACAGGAGGTTAAATGCTCAGACGGTTAAAAAAAATGATCTCACGCCAAATGTAGATGACCAGTTAGAAACACTGTGCGGATATACTTTATTTACAACATTAGATTTGTCAGCTGGTTATCTGCAGGTGCCGTTGACTGAAGCTGCAAAAGAAAAAACTGCGTTCATAACACCTACAGAGACTGGTAAATTCGGGAGAATGGTGTTTGGATTAGCAAATGCACCATATGAATTTTGAAAGTTAATGCAACAAGTGATAGGACATCTAAGAAATAAAATAGCAGTATGGTACATGGATGATGTATTAGTACCAGCATTTAATTTTGGTGATATGATGAGACGATTAAGATTAGTGTTCACAGAATTGAAAAAGGCAAAGTTAACACTAAAATTGCATAAGTACCACTTTGGATGCGAAGAAGTGACATATTTAGGTTTTAATATTAGCACTGATGGTATTAAACCTGGACGAAATAAACTTGACGTTGTAAAAGATTTTCCTTCATCAAAAAGTAAGCATGATGTTAGACGTTTTTTGGATTAAACGGGTTTCTTCCACCTATTTATTCGCAAATATGCAGAGAAGGTTAAACCGATAAGTGATTTACTCAAAAATGAAGCTATTTATGTGTGGAAGAATGAACAAAAAGAAGCGTTCCAACAGTTGAAAAATGCATTAACAGAGGAACCAACTCTGAAACTATATGATACGTGTGCAGTGACAGAGGTACACTGTGATACCAGTTCAATAGGATTAAGTGGTATGTTGTTGCAACAGGATGTTGATTGCAAACTGCGATTAGTGCATGCTGTTTCCAAAAAGACGACAGATGCCGAAAGCAAATATCATTCGAGCCGTCTCGAGTTAATGGCAATAGTTTGGACTTTAACTAAGTTAAGACATTTATTGATTGGTATTCATTTTGTTGTAGTTACCGATTGTCAAGTATTGGTCCATATGAACAGTAAAAAGACAACAAACCCTCAAATTGTCCGTTGGGCAAGTTTGCTTAGTTAATTCAATTTTGAAGTTCGCCATAGGCTGAGGGAGGCTATGCAACATGTTGATGCATTAAGCAGAGCTCCTGTGGATCCTAGCACAGGTGAGACTATGGATCAAATAATAAGCAAAAAGTTGGAGGTATTAGTGACAATGAGTGAAGAAGAATATGTGGTAGCTATGCAAAACAGTGATGCAGAATTAAAAACTATAATATCAGAACTAACTAGTGAAGCACCATCATTGACAGTCATGTCAAAATATGAGATTATCAATGCTATACTGTATCGGATAATTTCGTAAAATGGTGAAAAAAAGAAACTATGGGTGGTTCCAAAATCAATGCGCAAAAGTTTGGTAATTAAGTTTCATGATATGTCGGATCATTTCTCAACAGACAGAACAGTATCTAAAATACTAGAGAAGTATTACTTCCCTCGCTTACGCAGGTATGTTAAACATCACATTAATATGTGTGTTGCCTGTGTTGTGAACAAAGCGCCCCGTGGAAAGTAGCCGGGAAAACTTCATCCCATTGAACCCGGGAAGAGGCCCTTCGAAACGATACATATTGATCATCTTGGACCCTTTCCGACTAGTTCAAAGAAAAATAATTATCTGTTACTGCTTACAGATAATTTGACTAAGTTTGTCAAGCTTTTTCCAGCAAGTAGTGTCCATACTAAAGGAGTCATACGCCAATTAAAGTCATTCACTTTGCAATTTGGGCTACCCAGGACAATCATATGTGACCGTGGAACAGCATTTACCTCAGAACAGTTCAGGAAGTATTGCCATGAGGAAGGAATTGAACTTCATTTGGGGTCAATCAGACATCCACAAACAAATAGACAATGTGAGAGAGCCAATTCGACAATACTATCAGTAATTACTACTGACACTGATAAAGAGTCCACATGGGACGAAAAACTACCCGAAGTGGAGTTTAAGCTGAACAATATGCTTAATAAGACTACTGGAAAGTCACCATTTCAAGCTCTGTATGGATATTCACCAATGTTACAAGATGGTTTCTTAGACAAACTTGTGACAGTAACAACATTAACCGAAGATCCGGTAGACTCACAGACCAGAATCAGAGAGAACATTGCAGAAGCTCAACAGAAATGGAAACAGAGGTATGACAAACGAAAGGTGGAAGCAAAATTTCAAGTTGGAGAAATTGTGTTTCTACGTTGCCCTCCTGTGCCACTGGTACATCAACAAAAGTATAGAGGACCACTTGTGGTAACTAAGGTATGTGATGGGGATACTTACAAGATTGCTTCAGTGCGTCCTACCCACCGGCGACTGTATGCTACTACAGCTCATGTTAGTCTCTTAAAGCAGTTCAATAGTCAAGCTCAAGTGGATGACAGTACAGAAAAAGAAGGAGGAAGCGAGTCGGAAGAACCTGAACCAACGGTGGAAGTAGGAAGACCAAGACGTAACGTTGCAATACCCAAAAGGTATAAAGGTTTTGTTATGTGATTGAAATGATTATGCTCGACAAGAGGATGAACTGTTAATTATATTAAATTGTTTTCTTTGTGTGATTTATTTGTTAAGTATAAATAATTATTTGAAAATTTATGTTTGTTTCAAAAAAAATTATGGTTTTTACTAGTTATTCTGTTATATATAAATATTGATTATTGTTAAAGAATTATTAATGAGGTCATTAATTGTGTCAGCACGCCCAAATGATTTGTGGAGGGGAAAAAAAAGGAAATAATAGATAAGTGTGTGTGTGCCTGTGTGGCGGTTCTAGTGAAACATTTTTTTTTTAGTGTGTTACACTTATAAATGTATGTTTTTTTTGCAATGTTCTTTAATAAAGAGTGTGTTTGTTCATAATATAGTTATTCTATAACAATTACAATATATTGTTATCGTTTTAGTGATAAAATATGATATCCATACTAAGAAATTATCAACAGTGAAATTTTGGTTTGCCTGCGTTATTGTTTATTTATAGTACAAAAATTATTGCTCCTTATCTTGTATATGCCCAAATGTAGGTAGTTGATTTTACTGTCACTAGACACATTATTTCTAAATAATTGTTATCGTCGATATTTGTTTTTCATTTCACGACTTAGATGAACATAAATATTTTTCTTAGACCTCCCTACCTCTCTTTTCAAAACCTAAATGTCTGGCCGTGACCATGATAAATTTCGGTAGTATATTTGTGAAGCTGAAAAAAGAAAAAAGAGTTACAAAGAAAAGAACGTGGGATATTTGATAAATATATATATCGACCAAAGAAACTTAACAAGGAACAAAATGCTTTGACTTCCCAATTAGATGATACCGATAATGATCTAAATGTAGGAAATAATTAAACTGAAAATTAATTAAACTCTGAATCCGAAAATATTGATACAAGTACAATATTTGACTTCAATGCCGGGCAACTTGGCCAGACCATATAAGTAATGAATTAAAGGCTGATATTGTTAAATAGGGGACTATTAAAATAATTAATTACAACTTTCCGTATAATGATGATTAACCTTATCGAAGAAGCATTACAAAATAATATTATACTCGTAATATGCCTAATGGAGAAATTGTTGACCGTTAGTGACTTGTATATTCAAAATTAAAAGATCGAGTGTTTTGTTTTTGTTTCGTACTACTCAGTCAAGGAAAATCAGAAAGTAATTTAGCCAATATTAAGGAAGGTTTAAATGACTGGAAGCTTTGTTGCAAAAGCTTTTATAACATGAACGTTCTGAGGCTCATAATTTATCTTTAAAGCAATGGTTTGACTTAAAAATAAGATTAAAGTCATTGACTACTATAGATCAACAACATTTGGCTCAAATAGAAAAATAAATAAACCATTGGAAAGCTATCCTTTAGCGAATTTTATGTATAATTCAGTATTTGGCTAAGCATAATGATGGGTTTCGTGGGAAATCAGATATGATATTTACAAAAAATAATGGTAAGTTTTTAGGTTTGATTGAAATGTTATCCAAATTGGACGCGGTTACAATAGAACATGTACGACGCATTAAAAATAAAGATATACACACTCACTACTTAGAACAAAATATTCAGGATGAGCTCATTAATTTGATGGCTAATGAGGTTAAAAAAAAAATAATAAAAGAAATTCAACAATGATACTAACCGCAAAGAGCAATGATCTATAATAAAATGCACAGTAAATATGAACAAAAATGATGATCTTAATGAACCTAAAATAAAAGAATATTTTTTAGATTTTATAATTGTTGAATCAACTATTGGACTAAATCTTAAAATGTCGTTTTGAACAAACTGAATGAATTTGGTATACAAATATCGATCTATAGGGGTCAAAGTTATGATAATGAGGCAAATATTACTGGTCAGTATCAAGGAGTTCAGTCTTGCATTCTTCAACAAAATTCTAGAGCTTCTTTTATGCCTTGTGCTTCTCACAATTTGAACTTATTACTTCGCGATATCGCCAAAAGTTCAGTTAAAGCTATGACATTTTTTGGGACCGTTGGAAGAGTATACACAATTTTTTCTGGATCAACTTCTAGATGAGCCATTTTAAATAAGCATTGTCAAATTATGACTGTGAAGAAATGGTCTAAAACTCGTTGGGAGAGTCGCCTTGAGAGTGTTAAAGCGATTTGATATCAAATGCCAGAAATTTTAAATGGATTGGAAGAAGTATAAAATACATCATCAGACTCTTTATAAAGAAGTGAATCTAAATCCTTAGAAAATGAAATTAGTAGTTACGAATTTATTCTTAGCATAATTATTTGATATGATATTCTAGTAGAAGTTAACACAATAAGCAAAAGTCTTCAGAGCACTAACATGGATTTAGATATTTCAGATAGTATGTTAAATGGATTACTCTCATTTTTGAATGACTATAGGAAAATATTCAGATTCAAAACCAATAGGTTTTGAATCTGTAAAAACAACTGCTAAAGATTTAGCAGAAGCTATAGGTGTTTCTACAGTTTTTAGAAAAAAACTGTATACGAACAAAAAAAAAAATATATTTTCATATGAAACTCAAGATGAACCATCTAAAAATGAAGAAATTACTTATTATCAAGATTATTTTTTAAATATTGTTGATCAAGCTATCGTTTCCATGAATATGAGATTTTCACAGCTTAAATCGATTAATAACAACTTTGGTTTTTTGTATCGGATTAACAAAATAAAATTTATGGAAAAAGAGGAGTTAAAAAAATGTTAAAAAAAAGGTGAATTAAATTATATAAATGGTTATAAATTGTATGAAGAATTGCTTATTTTTTGTACAACGATTTCTGAAGAAACGACAACTTTCAAGCTCTTTCAGTACTAAAAATATGTTGCGGTTCTTATCCAAATATTTCAATTGCACTCAGAATAATTCTTTCAGTTGCAGTAACATCTGTTGGTTCGGAAAGGAGTTTATCCAAATTAAAAATAATAAAAAACTACTTAAGTAGTACTTTATCTCAGTGTAAGCTTACAAGCCTAGCTACTTTATCAATTGAATAAGAAATTACTGACTTATTAGTTTTAATGAGCTGATTGACATTTTTGCTGCAACCAAGATCAAAAAAAAATTATTTTTATGTAATAAAATTCATTTTTTTTTTTGCAATTCACCTGTACCCATTTACATCGCCATATCATCGCTTTGCGATTAACCACATCCCATTTATGATAATAAATTCTATTCACCATTTGATGACAAAGTTATTCATTCAAGACTAGTTCATTGGTGTAATTTTCAAGACTATAACAATTGATAAGTAGTTAATTATTTGTCATTATTTTATTACTTTTACATATATTTTTAATTATTTGTCTTTGCGCCAGTGTGGCATAAGTGTTAAGTGTTCCCCCTACCCCATTAGTACATATATAAGATTTTATGATTTATGTTAAAATACAGAAAATTGTTTTATATTCTTTCAATATATTGTAACGTGACCAAATGTGAATTTTTATGGTATAGATAGATTTACTGTTTTGCTTTGCTAATGGGCGCGCGTACGTTATATCCGGCCGTGTAATTAGTAAACTGTACTGTTGCTGTCAAGGTGAACGCTATACACACAATATCCTTTATCAGTTTAATATTCGTTCCCTATATGACACATACACTGGCCACCACTGTCAATACCTGTATAATTTTAATATTGTTAATACACTTATCTTTTTTATATTTTGTAAATTGTTAAGCCGATACCCTCTCCCAAACGTAATCGTCGTCGTCGTTGTGTAACAAAAATTGATTTTCTCTTCCTTTTGATCCACCGTTGTGGTATTTTGTTGCTGTGTGCGTACAGCCAACATAAATTTTTTTTTTCGTGTATGTCGTTAGTTAAATAATGTATTAACTTTTATAAAGCGTCGGCCATTTTCTAGGGCCGAGATCCACATCTTCGGATGAGTCCCATCCGGGACTGGTTATCGTATTGTTTTTATTTAATATATTGTTTTGAGCCTTTTCTGTTTATTTGTTTTATTCTTTTATGATATATATATATATATTTAGCAATAATTAATAAAAACAAGGTTATTAGTCAGTGGTGTGTCATGTATATTTAATACATATATATATATATATATTATTTTCGCAGTGCCCAAGTACGGTCCGGCAGGCCCGATTACAAAAATTATCCGCCGCGCCTGGAGTACACGGACTTGTTCCGATGCGGAAGACACTTCTCGTGTAATGTTTAAAAGTTGTAGGTTAAATTTTTTTTTGTTTTAATAATTGTTTTTTTCTCTCTTGTCCCTTCATTTTCAGAGTGGTTTTTGTGTTTTGTCCACTATTAATTTAAANTTATTTGCAGAGTGGTTTTTGCCTTCGGGTTTTGTCCACTATTAACTTAATTGTAATAATTTAATAAAGTCCCCTTAATTTTCTTAATCAACAAAAATCTTTTTATTGCGTGAATATCTTCAATATTCACGTGTATCTTATTTTTTTTTTACCTTTAAATAATTCTCTCTAGTTTTTAGGTAACGGTCTTCGACATACTAAAGTATGTCCACCACTGGTGACATCAAATAAACATATTTTGTTTTATTTACAAGGTATTAGCGTATTATAGTCTACAACAACACTTTATATCTTAGTATATAAGTATATACATATAATTTTTTATATATTATAATATACAAATATTATTATTATAATAATATTGTTTTATATTATTGGTTTACTTATTGTTTATTTTTTTAAATCCACTTATGGTCCGGGTGTTTTTTTTTTTTATGATCAAGACCCTCGCCTAAGTGGTTGGCGATCTGATTTTCCTTTTGCAAGGGAGCCATGAGGGTGGCGACTCCACAATCCGTTGCGTGGCCCAAATCGTCACCTCTCAATATTTTACTCATTTTACAGTCTACTCCTAATTTTTTCTCCTTGCATGATTTTAGAGACTCTAAAAACGAACTTAAACTAACTCGCAAATCATTACCGGGAGTTTCGTTCAAACATTTGGTCCTTCGGGCAGGATATTTTTATAGTAATCATGTCGAGAAAAAGTGCGAAAACCAAACCCGCTGAAAAGAACAAAGTGCTTATTATTGCCCGTTTATGACGCGATCGTGCTCTGAAATCATTTAAATAAATCTACGTGGTCACAGAAATGGTTAAGAGTGACCCATCACTAATGTATGAGTTGGAAATTCATTCGCGTTAACTAGATTCCCAAATTATGCAATTTCGCGAACACCAACATGCTGTGATTGAAGCTTCTTGGTCGAAAAATTCGAGTGTTTTGATTCTCCAGTTACCAATATAATGGAGACGCTTATTTTTAAAATAAATTCAGTATTAACGCCAACTACTTCCACAAATAGTATGCCTACTTCTATAACGCCTTAATCACAATATAACACCTATTTAACGACTGTTGATTTGCCTAAATTTGATGGTAATCCTGAAAATAGCGTTCGTTCTATGAAAGATTTGATTCTTTTGTTGTTCCGCCAGAAATATTAATAAAATCGACCGATTTCATCTATTATTATCATGTTTATCTGGTCCCGCGTTAAATACAATAAAATCTTATCCACTCTCTGCCGCCAACTATGATGACACATGGAGCGCTCTTATAGAGAGGTATGAAAACCAATGACTATTAGCATCAGTACATTTGGATAGGTTATTTTCGTTCAAACAAATAATTACACAATAATTATCAGCTTTAAATAGTTTTATTGATATTTTTAATGACAAAGTAACAGTCATAAAAATCTCGGTTTGGAAGATTTAACTGGGTTGTTACTTTTTTATATGGGTGCTAAGGTATTAGACGTAGACACGCGTCGTTTGTTCGAGGCCACAGTATCGTAGTTTACTATTCTAAGTATAGACGACCTGATTTCCTTTGTTCGGCAGCGTTGTCGAATTTTAGAAAATATCAAGGGCTACAATAGCGATAAGAAAGAACGCGCAAACAAAAATAACATAAGTAACAAATTTTATGCACAACAAAGAACTGTATTAACCAGAACTACCGGATCAACAAAAAATGTCCATTTTTTTCAGACTCTCATCCAGCGTATTGTTGTAATGTTATTCGGCTATAAACTACTGAAAAACGGCGTGAAGCCGTTGTTAAAAAAAAGTTTTCGTGATTGAGTAATTTGCATCGCGCCGCTGAGTAAATCGAAGTCATGCTCGAAATACCAGAAACGTCACCATACTAGCATCTTCATTCTAACATCTTAAATACTCAAAACTCAGTACCAGTCAGTTCAAATAGCTTAAATAGTGAAACCACTGGTACCTTAGAATCTAACGTTCAGGAATTTCGCGGTTTATCGCAGTCAAATATTACCGTCATTTTAGGTATTGCAGTTATTCGTATTCGTAATAGTCGAGGTGATTATCAAACAAATCGCGTTTTATTAGATAGTGGTTCGCAGGTGTCTGAAATAACAATACGTTATGTATATAGGCTAGGTAAACCAAGCTTAGATACACAACCCAACGCAAGTGTTTACGCAGTATTATCGGTCTTGGAAAAAACCCGGTAAATGAATTAAGTAGAGAAACCAGTTGTTATTTCATACCGCGACAACAATCGGAGCCGACCTTTTGTTGCAATGATGTCGTTATACTACAACAGATAACAACAATGATGCCTATCTCACCACTACTGTCAGCCGTTCGTAAGGCATATAAACATTTATTGTTAGCAGATCCCGCGTTCGATATACCTGCGCCAATAGACGTTTTAATAGGTGGTGACTTATTCCCGCATGTAATGCACCCTCGAGGCCGTATTATCCATTAAAAAGGTTTACCTTTAGCGATAAATACACATTTTGGCTGGGTAATATGTGGTGCATTACATGGAAAATCCACGTCACTTGTACATTCATTATTAGTGATATCAGTAAAATTTGATAATCTCATGCGTTCTTTTTGGGCTATAAAGAAAGCTGCAATACCAATTGAGTCGATAACTGAAGTACAATGATGTGAAGAATGGTTTTCAAAAACAACCACATGAGAAAAGGAAGGTAGATTTTGTAAGCACTTCCATTTCGCGATTCCGTTTGTAGTTCGAATAGTGAATAGGTGTTCACCCATGCTTACAGGGGCACTGACTTATTTTGAATTAAACGCCATGTTACATAAAGCTGCCTTACTGACACAAGAAGAACATTTCAAAAATTAAAAAAAAAACAGTTGCTTAATCATAATTATGTCACACCAAGTTCTCTCGCTCAACTAGCGCCGTTTATTGACAGGACTGGCCTAATTTGTGTAGGCGGCCGCCTTCGCTATGCGTCATTAGGTCCAGATGCAAAATATCCAATACTGTTACCTAAAATTTCGCATTTTACACGTTAAATAATTCAACGCTATCACCATGGTTATTTACACGCTGGACTGAAGTTGGTTTTATCAATGGTAAGAAGAAAGTTTTAGATTATTTCTGATTGTGACACCGTACGGCAGTTTATTTTTATTTGTACAATTTGTGTAAGACATAAGGCCGCTCGCCCAAACCCAATGATTGGATATTTGCCAATTTATCGAGTTTTTTCACAACGTGCTTTTCAAGACGTCGGTATGGACTATTGAGGCCCCTATTTGGTAAAGGAATGACGCCATCGCAACACTAAAACTACCAAAATATATATCGCGCTGTTTTTTGCCCTGGTCATAAAGGCGGCAGTACACATCGAAATCGTTTCAGATTTAACTTCGGACGCTTTTCTTGCCGTCCTTGACCGGTTAGTAACGCGTCGAGGAATTCTGGTAAATTTACATAACGATTGTGGTAGTAATTATAATGGAACATCGCGTCAATTAAAATCTCTATTTGCGAATGAGGCCGTGCAAAACACAATGGTCACACGAATCCCATGTAATAAGCACTTCAAACCTCCCGCCTCCCCTTACATGGGAGGCTGACATTAAAAGTGTAAAACATCATTTAAAACGAGTTATCGAAATTTAAGTGCTAACATATGAAGAAATGGAAACGTTAGTAATTCGTATTGAAGGTATATTTAATACTCGTCCTCTAACACAAGCTTCAGTAGATCCTCATTATCTACTCGCATTAACCCCAACTCATTTTTAATAGGCTAACCTATTCTTTCTATACCTGAAAGTGATGTTACTGCAATACCTATGAATCGCTTAACGCGCTGACAACTATCCGTCAAATGCATCAATCGTTTTGAAAACGTTGGTCAAATGAGTATTTGACGACTCTTCAAAGACAACTTAAATGGACAAAAGGGGAAGAAGATATTAAATTGGAGATCTTGTCATCGTTGAACCTCCGAATCGCCCAAGGTCCGAATGGAAAATGAGCCGTGTTATAGAAGCCCATCCGGGTGTAGATCGAACAGTACGCGTAGGTACCGTACATACCGCAGATAGCGATTTCAAAAGACTGATAGTAAAATTAGCTAAATTACCCATGAGTGATTAATATGTTTAACATGTTTTCTATTTATCCTATTCCTTCCTGATTTCTTTAGGGGTCCTTTAATATAACTATGTACATATTTTTTAGCTTCAATGCGAAGATGAGAACGTATTGGTTTTACTACTAGTTTTTTTTTTGTGTCTGTTACCACTTTTTCTTAGCTCTCACCGAACCGATTTCTTTCAACGATACATCCAAAAGATCACAAATCGTATCTAGTCGAAAACATTATCCTCAAAAATTGAAAAAATTTACCTCGTTCCCCGTAAATGGGGGAAATCATAAAAAAAATTACAAATTTAAAAANCGTAAATGGGGGAAACCTCCAAAAAAATTACAAATTTAAAAATCGCTAATTTTCGAAATATTTTCAATTTTTTTTACTAAAAACTGCCGTAACTTTTTCAATAATTATTACATCAATATAATTTTTTTATAGATGCATAATGTCTTTACCTATCATTTGATATATTTTTTTTATAAATTTGACCTATTACTTGCCCATAGGGGGGATTAAAAACGACAACTTTTTCTCAAAAAATTAACTTTTTTAAGTGTTCCGGAAATACTGACAGTTATATATATCTTAAATTAAAGCTTATGTGATAACTTTATAAGGGAAAATAAAAATTCTAGACTTTATTTTGCCTTTACGTTGAAAATGGCTACCGTATGCTATTTTTGTGTTAAAATTCTCGATTTTATATTTTTAACTTTAAAATGCTATAACTTTTAAAAAATGTATGGATCAATACAAGTTTTTTATGAGAAATAATATTTATATCCATCTTTCATTCGATATACTTTTTTTTTTAAATAACATCATTTCACTTTATATATAATCAATATATATATAGATATTATTCATATATTACTTGTATAAATCATAAAACTTGTAATCATGATATAAATAAGGAAATAAGAGATCATGTAGCTTTTGGAATAATCCATAAATTTTTTAAAATTAAACACTATCTACAGATTTGCATCGAAGCGTTCTTTATGATGGTCATTTTATTCACTGTCAGATATCATTATACTTGACCCAACTATGCCACATCCCCACTGTGCTGGGTTATTTTAATTTTAGTTTTAAAATAGATTTTAAGTTTAATGTTAAATTGAAAATGTTAAGCAGATTGTCTTGAAAGCTTTACCTTTCAACGTCGGAAGTATATTGAATATGCAGTACGAGAGGGCGTTTCGCTACATCCTTTTTTTTATGACTGATAATGTCTCTCGCGCTACTACCACCGGTTGTGTGAGAGACTCAGTATGTTGTATGATTACGTACCTATACGATTCACCTATACCCATGTACATCGCCATATTATAACTCTGCGATTAACCACATCCCATTGATGTTAATGAATTGTATTCACTATTTGATGGCAAAGTTATTATCAGTCAAAAAAAGAAATGTAGCAAAACGCCCTCTTGTCTGCATATTCAACAATAAGTACTTGAGCATCCCAAAAAAATTTGTTTTGGCTTCGCGAAAAGAAATATTTAGGGCTCCGTGAAATAAATTGCCCCGGGCCCCGCAAAACCTCTCGCCGGCGCTGAATATACACATAATTATTCATTATAATTCAATAAATACGCTATCGACTAAAACAACCACACGAATTATTAAAAGTAAAATAAAATTCGTTCACACTACCATGTTGTAGTATTATAATTTACTGTTTATTTATTGATATCACATACATAACAGATAGAATCAAGAGTTACTAACATTACAATACACATCAGGGAGAAAGCTCTCTACAAAATTTTTTTTTGTAGTTATATTGTCCAGTTATTCATTTTGCTATTAGATTTTATTTAAGATGACTCAATCAAAAGTTATAAACACATAAATGTATCATATGAAAGTACTTAAACTGATATAGAGTAATAATGTGTATCTATTTTTCGTTTATTTATATTTGAGATTAAAAATTATTATAAATTAAAATTTAATATGACTAGACATAACAATATCTAATTAACACATGTTCTTTATATGTATAAATGAACATAATAATTGGTGTTGATTATTATAATAACACAGTTTTAGATTTACTTAGGCTCGTATTTAAGGGTTTTTCGAGAAAAAAGTCTCCTAAAAATGATTAGGAGTGAATTTTAATATTTAGGTACAAAAACAGAATTAGAATTAGAGATTCAAAACTGAATATAAGGGCCTAGGTGATACTGTTAAGATAGCAATATAAGAAAATTATTTATGAAGTCAGTAATTTTGCGTTCGATAGGCTGACATTCGACTCATGAGTGACATTAGTGATTGTTTTGGTGGCCTGCAAATGTTGTTACCGTTTTCTGGACAGCAAAGATCTGGAAAACAGTCCATGATTGTTCGACATTTTCGTGGAAATAGATCATACCGTTTAGGTGGCGGTTGACTGCACTGTAAAAATGATTGGCTTGATCTCAAACCTGCAAATTTTATTCGACTATTTAACATATTGTTTAATAAAACTCCCCTATAGGTATACATTTTCTAAATATTCCATGATTGAATATAATGATCTTAATTTTAAGTATTCAAATATGATAAATGTATAAATGAACCTACATTATAACTAAGTATTATTATATAATAACATTAATATACAGTGTCATTTATTAAGAATACTCATCCCAAATGTTGTTTAATAATTATTTTTTCATTTTTTTTTTTACACTGATCCTTAAATTGTGCGTGTTATCGGAACGAATGATCTGAAAAGTTAAAGTTAAAATATAAATAAAAAGTTATTCGGTCCATCGATTGCCACAGCTGATAAAATATTGAAATATTTTATATGTAAAAATTTATAAATATAACGCACACTGTATATTAGTCATAACATTTTTAGCTCTATCTGTTCAAGAACTTATAAATAAAATAATGAATTAGGTCCACTAAAAAATTTACTATTGAAACTTGTATAATCTGGTTAGGGTGACAAATTGGAGTGGGCAGTATCAAAATCACTATATGATGACGTCCATGGAGTATATAAAAAAATTTTTCTTGATCGGAGAGTCAGTATCGATTTAGTACTGATAATGACTTGAAAATATCGTTTTCAAAATAAATATCTACTGATTTAAAGTGCTTTTTGTACAAAATTAATTTTAGAATTATATTTATATATAGAGTGATTAGAATATTTTGTTACCGACTATTTCTTAAAAATTATTGAAAACAAAAAAAGTTTTTTAAATAAATGTTTTTATAATAACTTAATACATTCAACTATATTTAACTCGTACTTTTGAAAAATGTCTATGAAAGGTTTTAGGGAGTAAACTTTGAAAAATCAAATGAAACTTATTTTTAATTAGTGTAATATTCAAAGTTACTTTTAGCTTCGATGCGAAGCTGAGAAGGTATTAATTTTACTATGATGTGTTTTTTTCTTTTTTCTTTTGAGTCTGTGAACGCTCAATCTCAGCTCTCACTGGACCGATTTAGATGAACAATACGTCAAAAGATCACACATTGAGTTTAGTCTAAGACATACCTTTAAAAATTGAAAAAAATTTCCGCGTTTCCATTAAACTGGGGTTTCCCTCAAAAAATTACAATTTTATATTTGGTAATTTTTGACATTTTTTTTTCTTAAAACTGCAATAACTTTTGATCTAATTAATTTAATTTTTTTTCATAGATATCTTAGGCGTATAACTATCATTTATTATATTTTTGTGTACATTTTACATGTCCTCAGAGGGGGTTTCAAAATTAAATCTTTTTGACAAAAAGAAAACTTTTTCAACTTAACTTATGAAAATGTTCCGGACTATATACTGACACTTTTATATATATTTTTGATTACATTTTATGAAATATACTAATAATTTGAAAAAAAAGTTTAACCTCTGGATGGTGAAAATAGTCACCATCAAAAATATGCTGTATTTGTGTTAAAATTCTGATTTTTGTATTTTATTTTATTTTAAAATATGTTTACTGATTTTCAAAAAAAAAAAATACATTATAGTAAAATTAATACCTTCTCAGCTTCGCATCGAAGATAAAATGCTTTTAGAAAGTAGAACTTTTAAAATTTATTTTTAATTAAAATATATTTATTGATTATTAATGCATAACTTATAATCAAACATAAATATTTGTTAAATTAATTAGGAGGATTTTGTTATTTTTTAGGCCATATGCAAAATTCTAATTGCAGATTTGAAATCGGTGCAAAAATGGGTTTAATAAAGTATATTTTGGTATCGGATGAAAATTACTTGAAGACCAGTACATTTATTTATAAATAATAAATAATTTTTTTATATACGTTTGCCATTAAAGTAATAACTACTTTATAATATCTTCGTATAAATAACAATAATAAATTATTAAATATAAATTTAATACTATATTTAAATACTATAATAAATATTTATACATACATTACTTGTATAAATCATAAAACTTGTAATCAGGATATAAATAAGGAAATAGGAGATTATGTTGTTTTTGGAATGATCAACAATTTAACAGTATCTGCATATTTGCAATTAACCGTTTTTTATGATAGTGATTTTAATCAGTGTAGATATAGAATCAATGTAGATTAAATCTATATTGGACCCAACTATGCCATGTCCTCACTGTGCTGCGACCCCNTACAAAGAACTTAATATCAGAGAAGCAATAGAAATGTTTAAAAATAAAAACAATTTAATTAATTGGGATCTTGGCCCACTGAAAAATTCATTATTAAACTTGTGTAAACTGGCAAAATGTGATAATATTACTTAGTGATAACGTCACTAGGTGATAAGGTCACTAGGGGTATATAAGGGAGTTTTTTCTAGTCGGGGTGTCAGTATGTGTTTAGCGTTGATAATGGTAACATTGTTTCCGAAATACGTATCCGCGACTTTTCATTAATTTTTTTGTGGCTTTTGAGTTTAATATTTTTAATATTTTTTAGTTTTTTTAAATTAATAATATTTTTAATATAGTTTTAATTTTACTTAATTAACTAGCCACAAGTGATCAATTTTTATTATATAGTTTTATGAACTTTGACGAAAATTAAGTTTTATTTTCACTTGTAAATATATTACAGGTTCATTAGAAATGTAATTAGGTGTTATCAATGGTGTTGCTAGGATTTTATAATGGTACGAGCCACAGTAAAAAAATTTCATATTCGAAATTTTTTTTTTAATCATTTCATTTAGAGATAAATATTATTTTCAATAAAGGGGCCTGCTCCTTTGCAACGCTACTCGGTTATATCGGTTATTAATGATTTCTCATTACTGTCAAACGAGCCTTATTAAAAATGGAGAGTATTTATGTTATTATAGTATGATTTTTATCAGATATTACATAATATTATGTCAAGAAGTGATACCACCGAATATTACGTTTACAATTGTTACACTTTATCATATGTTCTAAAATAGCATTATAAAATTCATTAAAAATGAAATCTTTTTTCTAATTGAAAGGGTGGTAGCTTAAATACTATATTAGAACACATAATTTTTTCATTAGTAAATACAAAAAAAAGAAAATTATAATATTACATTATAAAAAACCCAGCATAGTGGGGTCGCGGCATAGTGGGGACGTTGCATAGTTGGGTCCAGTATAGATTTAATCTGACAGTGATTAAAATCACTATCATAAGAAACGCTTCGATGCAAATCTGTAGATAGTGTTTAATTTTAAAAAATTAATGGATAATTACAAAAGCAACATTAACTTCTATTTCCTTAATTATACCTAGATTAGTAATTCTTTTAATTATATATTATATAATTTTAAAAATTAATTGTTTTCAAATTATTATTGATTTTGATTTTTGAAATGTTAAAAGTAATAATTTTGAACCTACTTTTTATTGTCCATTAAAGTGAAAGTTTTAATAAAAAAAAAAAAAAATTTATTACCATAACATTTAGCTCAACTTGCAAGTTTGAAATTTACATTATTAAATAGAAATAAATGAAATTGTTAAGATTAATATGCAATCAGGGAATTTTATAATTACTATTTACAGTACATTTATCAGAAAAGTTATATTTTTTTACATTTTTATCGTAATAGATCACTTAAATAAAAATCATAGTAATCATTTCTAATTAACTTTTGGCGTTTAAAAAGATTTTACAATGGTAATATGAACTTTTGCGATGCTGTAAAAAAAAGCTCAATTATAATTAGTATGTCATTATACATATTTTAATTCAACTTTTAAAAAAACAAAATTTGGTTANCTATTAGTATGTCATTATACATATTTTAATTCAACTTTAAAAAAAACAAAATTTTTTCCGCAATTTTTCCTTTGTTGACTGGCCTAGATGTCAATTTTAAACTTGTAATTGAGCTAAAAGTTATGGTAATATATTCAATTTTTTTTACTATAAACTTTCATAAATCTTAATCAAAAATTTTTCATCAACTTTAAAGAACCAATAAAATAGATTAAATATGAAAATTTGGACTGGTTATTTTTAACATATTAATAATCAAATCAGTAATAATTTTAAAACAATTATTTTTTTCTTTTAATTATTATTTTATATGTAATTAGTAATAATATAAAAAATTAGAAGTGATAGAAAAAGTCTAATTGCAGATTTGAAAACAACGCGAAAAGTTGATTTAGAAAAGTATATTTTTGCTTCTGATGAAAGTTCCTTGTAGTCCAGTGCATTTTTTATAATAACAAACAGTAAATGTTTATAATAAAAAAAAATAATTTATTTTACCATAACTTTTAGCTCAATTGGCAAGTTTGAAATTGACAACATTAAATAGAAAATTTTATGAGAATTAAAAAAATTGTATCGTTTGCAGTATATGCAGTCAGGAAATTTTATAATTACTATTTATTGTAAATTTATCATAAAAGCTCAATATTTTTTTTCTTTTTTATCGTAATAGATAACTTAAATAAAAATCGTAGTAATAATTGCCTAGTAACTTTTGGTGTTTGAAAAGATTCTGCAATTGAAATATTGAGAACTTAATTAATTTTAATGATTTACTTTAACTAAATGAACCAATCAAAACAAAGTTGTTAAAAAGATTTACTCAATTAAGCGTATTATAAAATATGATTATAATTGTAAAAATCCATCGTTAAATTCAGGTGAAACTAAAAATCATTGTTTTTTTAAATTTATGATTTATATAGCAACATATTACGAAAAAATTTGTAATGTTATAGACTGGTAGTAGCACACACAAATAGAGTAAAAAAATTAATACATTTCAAAGTAAAATTATATAATAGCAAATCTAATTCGACAATATAATTTAAAAATATTATAAATTAATGATTTTAATTGTTTGTATGGAAAAAGTTGGTTAAGCTACTTTTTATTTGAATAAGGAATATTTTTTTCGATTTTTAAGAGTAATACCTTAAACTAAATACGAATTGTAATCATTTGACGTATCGTTGAAAAAAGTAGGTCTAGTGAGGGTTGGCAAAATAAATCGTATCCAAAAAAAGAATTACATAGTAAAATAATATTAACATGAATATAAATTTCTTCTCACGAGGGTACACTATAGTGATAGGATCCTTTATATTTATTGAAGTTATTGAATCTAAATGAGATAAATATCAAATGATTTGAACATTTTATTCTAACACAAAAACAATGCAAATTATTAATTGCCAGAAACGGAGGATTTAAACCACTTACCCTAAGCGTGAAAGACACAGTTGTTACCGATTCGGGAAGTGTTCGTTTCTTTCGTCACACGATAAAATTGGCTATTTAAAATTTAAAAATTACTTTTTCGACTTTAAAAAAGTAAATCAATTTTAATAAGTTAAATTTCTTATGTCTTATGAACTTTATTCTATGTCTATTAAATTATATAATATTCATGAAAGTCAGTGTATTCCCCTAATGAGATATTTTCAAATAAAATAAAATACAAAACCCAGAATTTTAATACAAACATAGTATATTTTAGTACATGACATATGTTCAAAGGACGCAGTATTTTCGGAACATTTTCAAAAGTTATGTTGAAAAAGTTAGTTTTTGTAAAAAAGTTGCTATTTTAAATCCCCCCTGTAAGCAGAATAAGTGTTAGATTTTCAAAAAACAATGACATCAAACGAAAGGAAATTACCTAAGATTTCAATATAAAAAAATATTGTTTTGATTTGTTAATATTTGAAAAAGTTATGGCAGTTTTAAAAAAAAAAATATCAAAATTTTAAAAATTATTATTTTTTTGGAGATTTCCCCCATTTGCGGGAAACGAGGGAAAATTTTTCAATTTTTAAGTGTAATGTCTTCAACTAGATACGATTTGACGTATTTTTGAAAGAAATCGGTCCAGTGAGAGCTGAGAAAAAGTGGCAACAGACACAAAAAAAAAAAAAAAAACACATCTTAGTAAAATCAATACCTTCTCAGCTTCGCATCGAAGCTAAAACATGTGTTATCCTTCAATACTCATTGTTCAAAAATACGAGTTAAATATAATTGAATGTATTAAGTTACTATAACAATTTTTTATTTGAAACTTTTTTTATATTTTCAACAATCCCTGAGAAAAAATTATTATATAATAAATTCTGATCATCCTGTAAAAAAATAGATTTTATAATTTTAACGTGTTTCAATTTTTTACAGTAATCTTGTTATGTATTTAAAAATAAGTGATTAATAAAACTTAGTTGATATTTGAAAGAAATAACAAATTTAGATCTTACTTTTTGTAATAGTTTTCATTAATTTGTTTTTCCATTTTGGTACGGGTATTCTACAATATTTTTTACCATTTGTTCCATCATTCCCACAGCATATTCTTGGCCAACATTCCCTGTCTATATTGCAATTCTGTCTAGGGAAAAAGGGTGGTAGTCTAAAACTTGGACAAGACTTATTATATAGTTGAAAACTATGAGCTGAAAAAAATTATATGTTTCAAAATTCATGTTCATTATTTTATATTGTTAAGTGTGCAAGTTATAAAAATAATTAGAAAACGACTCTTAAAAGTTAAAACGTTTAAGTTTATCAAATTAACTAGTTTTTATTTTTAACTATTGCTCTTGATAGCCGGGAATTCGAGCATTTTAGGTATTATCCGAGTACTTATTAACAATCGGGTACCGAAATGTTCAGTATATTTTATTATAAAAAAATATTTCATTGTCCCTTCAAATAAAAAAAAAATTTTAAAAATTTCGAAAATTAGCGATTTTTAAATTTATAATTTTTTGGAGGTTTCCCCCATTTACGGGGAACGAGGGAAATTTTTTCAATTTTTGAGGATAATGTTTTTGACTAGATACGATTTGTGATCTTTTGACGTATCGTTGAAAGAAATCGGTTTGGTGTGAGCTAAGAAAAAGTGGTAACAGACACAAAAAAAAAAACTAGTAGTAAAACCAATACCTTCTCAGCTTCGCATGGAAGCTAAAACGGGTTTTTTATGAAGACGACGATTTGTTGTTCTTTAAAAATAACATTTTTATAAAACATAGTTTTACTTAATTATTATAAAATATATTTTTAAATATATAAAAATATATTTACCACGCATTTACCCCACCCCACGCCTCGCTCATCACACGCCGGCAATACTATTCCTGTATAAATTTATTTTTGATTATCGTACCCGTACACACGCGCGTGTCATCAATATTATATAATATATAATATATAAACAATTTTTTATTTTGACTGACCATTATCATCCGCGTGCATACGGCTTACGTATATATTCCTACCGCCGTTTATACCTCAGGTATAACGTTAGTCTGATCCGCCCGCCCACAAAACACGGCTATACCTAGTGCATGATACGTTTACATACTTAAGTCGCTTTACTTGTATATATATATTCTAATTACTATTAAAATTTATTTATTAACACGCTTTATTTTAATGAAGAGATATAAAGTATTCATTCCGATTATGAGGATGATTTCCGTATCGTCATTTTTCGTCACTACCTCCACGTTCCGGGAGTGGGTAATTTACGCGCCTGCTGCTTTCCTTGGATGTGGTAGCCGTTTCTTAGACTCCCTCCCCGGAATCGAACCATGATTTCCCGTTACCCGTAACAACCATGATATTGATAGTAACTACTATCATAACATGAAACTAAAAAGTAAAAAATAAATATAGTTTAAAAAACTAAAAAAACACGCTTTTAAAGCACATCGAACTAAAAAGTTAAAAATAACTTTTAAAATAATTATGAATAAAAAATACTAGTATTATTGTGATAAAAGCGCGGGTGCTTTGTGCCATATTTTTCGTATATTGAGCACCCGATGCTTTTATCACAATATTACTAGTATTTTTTGTTCATAATTATTTTAAACTTATTTTAAAAATTATTTTTAACTTTTTAGTTCGATGTGCTTTAAAAGCGTGTTTTTTTAGTTTTTTTAAACTATATTTATTTTTTGATAGTGATTTTAATCACTGTCAGATATCATTATACTTGATCCAACTATGTAACGTTACAACTGTGCCGAGACCCCCCTGTGCTGGGTTTTTTTTATCTTAAATATGATTTTTTATGTATGTATGTTACATAAAAACTCTAAATTATAAAGGTTTTTATATTAAACAATGTTTTATTGTTATTTAATTTTTATTATGACATTAATATTCATATCACAGATTATTCTAAAGGAAAGTACATTTATAATTTTTTTTTTTATGACGTATAGTCCTGATTCAAATTAAAATCCTGCGAAAGCAGAGCAGACTTTCCAATCTACAATCTACGAACGCATAGTTGTAGCCTAAAAAAATATGGTGTGTTGTAATAAAATTGGTAACAAATTGAACACATAAATAGCATGTTTTTTTACCACTGTAACCATTTGCATGTAGAAGATAGATCTTCGGGACAATTTTTTTTTTTACTAATTATAGTACGCCACATAACTTTAATTTAATATATGATTAAAGGACATAGTATTATTGAAACATTTTCAGAAGTTAAGATAAAAGCATTGAATTTTTTTTGCAGAAGATGCTATTATGAACGCCCACAAGGGGGCAGATGGACAGTCAGTTTTTCAGAAAATTTATATCATAATATCCAAATTAGTTATTGTTTTTTAACAATTAATATTTTGTTTTTGCAATATTCGTTTAAAACTGTATATTGATATAGTTTTATGTATTTAAATATCGGTAATATTTAAGATCAATTACACTGTCCAACAAAAGAAAAAAAAGTTGTCAGTTTCAAATATAAGAGGGATTAATTTCAAATATTTTGGAGTCACTGATCCTGAAAATGATTACGAAATCGCCTTATTAGTTTTTTTTTAGAATTATTTTTTATTTTTGAAAGTGCACAAGCTTTTAAAGTAACCTAGATATTGTAATAATTGTCAAAAATTGAATAGTATGTCATATGAATGTTACAAATATTTAAAATATAATAAAATATCTAATCTAAGTCTAACTTTTTTAGTCTGTATAAATTTTAAACTGAGTTAAGTGTAGAAAAACTATGAATTTTTTTAAAAGTTTTATAAAGTCCAATGTTTAAAAATCTATAATTTGCTGAGTTTTTATTTAAATTTTATAAAACAAGGTTTTAATATATTGTTTTAATTTTTGTGAAAATTATATATGGATTAATTTTAAATTAAATATAATAGAGCATGATTACTAACATGTGAACACATTGAAATATATTCCCAGTAATGTCACAAAACAATCACAAATAAATCTTTCATAAATCAATAGAAATTTTCATTAAAAGAAGTTTAAACAGTTAATTTTTGTAAGTGTAATTAGTATAAGTTCATGTTTATTCTATTTAGGTTTACTGTATAAATTGAGGCTAACTATTATTACAAAAGCTAACTTTAAAGATAATTTTAAAGGTCTGCAACTTTCGAAAAAAAATATGTGTTGATTTATAAAAAAATAAACGTTAGGAAAATGTTGAGGTTATTTTTGGACTCAGCTTATTTAAAAATTATTCCTCTTCCCTTGCAACTGACAAGTTTTATTATTTTTAATTTTTACAAATTTATTTTGTGTCTATTACACATTAGGTTTTTAATTTATCAAGGTCAATAGGTCAGCTATTTTTAAAGATTTTTATATTTGTGATAATTCTAATTAATGCAAAGTTTAATTAAAGATGTTTCGTACGTTTTTTTGTAGTTGACGAATTTACATCATTGTTACCATTACCATCACATTTAGATTCTTCGCAACTTATATTTACTTCTTCTAAGTTATTTAAATAATCACCAATATCTGCTAAAAAAAAATACATGAATAGATAGTTATATTTATACAACTGTAACTATAACTATACAACTTTTTGTTAGAGTAAATTATTTTAATAATTATTATAAAAATTATTGTGACAAATATGTTTGAAAATGTAGTGAAAATTAATCAAGTTTTTAAGCAAAAAGTAATTAAGATGAAACTTAATAAATATATTATACATTTTATCATAATGATAATATTACCATTTTTAGGTTTTTCTTGATTATCGATATAATTATCACTGATTTGCAAGTATTCTGGTTTTTGTGCGAATGTAGCATAAGCTACCAATAAGAACAATACAAAGAGACACATTGTCTGAGGCATCAGTTGTCACTGCAGGTAGTGTTTTGTATATAGTACATCGTCTATATGTTCCTTTGTCACTTTTTTCCCTCCACATAAGAACGTTAGTTGTAAAACTTATATGATCATATATGTTGTATAGCCTTGACAGCGACAATGGTCCATTGAAAAAAACTTAAATTGCCTATTCATAACTACATACTAATATCATAATATTATTATTATAAACACGTCAACTTTATAGTTAGTGATGTGCCGTAATTTTTGGTACTCGCATATTTTTTTGTGAATATGTCATCAAATAAAATATTAGTTGCGATAGAAATGTTTAAACAATCAAGATATAAAATACGTTTGAATAAATTGGTAAGTATATTTTTTTTTACTTGTATATAAAACTTCAATTTTTTAAAGATATTAATCCTTTTTTAATTTAGTTGTATTACATGTGAAAGATAAAAATTTGTGTGCTGGAATTAACATTTTTTACTTAAAATTTATTTATATGTATAATGGGATCTATACATTAAATACTAGTTCGCATCGCCATGCGCAACGAATAAGGCAGTAACTCAAAAAATTGAACTTTGAGATCATGAGGTATTTGGATTTAGATTTTACTTTTCTTATAACTTTCATCAAAATATCGAATTTTGATTTGAATCGGAATTAAGTTATTTAAAAAATCGACAATCACATAGTGTGTAATCAGAGAATACATTTTATTTTGATATCCTGAAAAGTATAAAAGTGAGTTACTACTTTATATACGCATATCAATATGACTTATTTTATGTAAATAATAAATCGTATTTTAATTTAAACAAGTTTGACTAAACTTACCTACTTTAATGAATAGCAATTAGTTGCTCATATTAATATTTTAGTTATAAATAAAATTAATCCACGATAAGTACTAAATAATCAATAAATTTTTACTAAAAAATGACGTCAAGTTTAGTGCACAAATGAAGTAATAGGTAATGTATAAAAAATAAAAAGATAAATTGAGAACCTCCTCTTTGTTGAAAATTGATATAACAGTAACATAGCTTTTTTACTTCGGTTAGTATTGTTTCAAAGATAAAACATATATATATATATATATTCTTTATGTTAAAATATAACAGTTCTTGTTTACATGGGTACCTACGTTAGTTAAATACTTGTATTTACTTATGAATTCACATGTAAATAGAAATTTCTACAAATGTCCTCTCGATTTGAATGATTTATCATCATCATAAACCAATCCTTAGTAAAAACTACTTTCAGAACTAAAGCCATCTTATCCTAACACAATCTCTGACATTGCACTTTATACATTTTTTATTATGTTAATTATTTTTCGTCACAATATTGTTAAGTTAAGTGCGAGAATATATTTACTGAGTTTTGTTGTATTCGTCATGCTATTTTAGTAAAACTGGGAAATCATAAAAAAAAAATTATTTCCCAAATTAGCACAAGACTCTTGAAAAAAATACTACTTGCCGAAGTCACTCGCCAATATTGTAGAGACCAGTTACTATGCATGTTTTAAAACACCACCAAATTAATAATTAAGTTGTGTTATAATTTCACTATTTTCAATTTATGTTTATTTATTTTTGTTTAGCACATTGTATTTTGTTTTCATTGTTAAATGAAACTAATTTCAAATTTTAAACAAATTAAGTACTGATCAATATGTCAACTGTTATAAAATTCACATATTGTGCAGTTTAATATATTTTTTAAAGTTATATTTTGATTGAGTTTTATAAATATATTTTTTTGGAAAATCTGTTTATCAATATTTTTAAACAATATAGATACAATTGGTTTGTAGCTATTAAAAAATTATTTGAGTACTTTTATAAAAAAAGATCCATCAATAAGAAAAGTTTTGAGAGGAATTTTTAAGTTTGCCTCATAATTCGAGCTAATCACAAAATTATTTTTATACATAATTCCTTTTAATACATAATTTTTATACTAAAAATGTTTCTTAACTAAACTGATATTTAAAGAAGTTTGATAAATTTTGTATAAGGGTTCCAGATAGTTTTTAGAACGTAGAGTAGTGGGGTTTGGTTAAATTGGGTTGGTTTTGACTCGTTAAACTAATCAACCATTAAAACGGTTAATTCTCTATTTTTTGTTAATCTCTGAGATATAGTCAAAAACGTCAAATTATCAGACCAATGAAAAAAAGTTTTCTTCATTAAACTTCAATTTATAAGTTTAATTATTATTATTATAATTTTTTTAGTAGTCAGGATAATTTCTTTTTTTGATTGTACGGTTTTTAGCTACAATTTTAATTACAAAACACTAATTTTTCTGTTTTTAAACAAATAAGCGAACTACTTTTTCGCTATTTTTAACTAAAAATTGAAAAAAAAAACAAATAAAACTATGAACATCATATATTTATTATTGTTCTTTATTAAATTATATAAGTTATAATTAAATAATAATGTATCTTTTAATGCCGAGTTATATTTTAAGTATTATTTTAGTCATATTATTATTTAAAGTATTTACTCAGTATTAACACACAAAAAATTGGTCCTGTAAAAGCAGGAACATTGACGTACCAGACACAAAAAAAAAAACACAGCTAAGTAAAACCAATGGCTTTTCAGCTAAGTTAAAATCATCAAAATGGATGCTGTTTATAGTTTATATGGCGTCAAAATTGTTATTTGAAATAAGTAAATTTAAATGGGGATTTAACTTTAAAATAAAAATAATTGAAATTCGAAAAACAGTAATATGAAAAGAAAAATTATTTTTTACTCTAAAAAAGTCAGTAATAGTTAATTTAAATAATGTTCGATCAAAGATTTATTTAACTATTTTCCAATGTCGAGAAAACAAATTTCCTTTTTTTTATAGTTATTGGATTTACAAAATAATATATTACATTAATTTTATGCGAGTCACATTTAATTTATATAGCAAATTTTTTAAATAAATGTTCAAAGAAGATTTCTCACCATTTGCTTATTATACACCAATTTAATTAATAATAATACATTTATGATTAATCAAATGGGATTACTGACTAACAAAATAAGATTAAATAAATACATTATCAATTTTAATATACGTAATATACAATTGTAATATCAATAACTCCCAACTTTAATTTCCACTAGAACACCTGTCCGACCTTTATAAGGAATGGGTGAATTGGTTGTTCATATTCTCCATGTAAAAAAACCATTTAAATAGATAAATGTTAACGATTGTATACTGAAGAGTTTATAAATTTGAAGACTTTATAATCTATTTAAGTTTGAAAAATATACGTACAAAATCTTTATGACATAAAAAAATATTATGTTATAACATAAATAATAATTTTAATAAATAGAATAAAATAGAATTTATCATAAAAGATAAAAAAATTTTACTAGGAATTTGCTATAAATCATATCTAGTTATTTTCCTATGTCAAGTTACTCATTGCAATGTAATACAAGTCTATTATCAGTTATTATGTGTTCAAAAATGTAAGACATAGTGAATACTTAGCTATTAAATAGTTTACATATTTATTATACCATTTACAAAATTTATGTATACTGTAATGCATAGAACAATATTTACTATACTTTGAAAATGTATTAAGCCTAACCCAAACATTAATTTTTTATATGATTAAATAAATAAATAACATATTTTGATAAGGGATTTAAGCCCCAATTTTTTTTAATTATCGAAAGATAATTATTAAAAGTGATTTTTAAATTTAAAGAATTTTGCATTATCTACTATTTTTTTCTATTGCGCCACTTCAATGGTATTGATATCTAATAAATCATTGATGATTTCATGTTAAAATATGATTCTAATAAATATAAAAGATACATTTTAGTAGATTTCTTTATATTAAAAAATAATTAATTTTTAAAATAAGTTAGTTTTAAAATAAATTATTTTGAATGATATATAATTCTGTTAATTATGTTTGGTATATCATATAGGACGTCAACATTTTATTGTCAATGCGTGCGCTTACTTATGTTCATGCAGACATAACAGTTTAAAATAAAATGAAACAATAGGTTGTAGAAATATTCAAATAATTTCACTGAGATATGTCGCATTGTTTCAATAAACTTCAAAAGGTAATTATGTGTATGTTTAAAATTGTTCAGCACGTATGGCACTAGAAAATGACATGAGTTTCACAAACATACTTAAGCATTAATATAAATATTCTTATAGCTACTTTCATGAATTTATATAATACACAGTTTCAAGATATATAAAAGTTTGGTCAATTAAAAATATTTAATATACTGAAAAATGTTCATCATAAATTCTATGAAAGACATGGACATTATTTTTGGAGGAAAGTCACTAATATAATTTTGGAATAATAAACAGTGATATGTATACATAAGAGGTACTACTCTAAGGTGCATCAATAGCGACATCGCTACGATTTGGAAATTATTGACTTATGAAACTATTACAACTTTAAAAATACAAAATATGATATTTTATCTTATCGAGTGAAAAGTCTAGTTTATTTAAAGTTAATTAGATTTTGATTTAAAAGTTCAGTAAAGAAATATTGTTTTTTAGAGCATATATAGTTCATTCGTACAATTTTATAGTGTTATAGTTTTGAAATTGAAATTTAATTTCAATTCTACAAAAAAATAAAACTAAAATTTCTAGATGTGCACCTCTAAATTTTTTTTTTTTTAATAGATGTATTTAGATATTTAAAAATTTTTTTTTGTTTATATTTACATTTTTTTGTAAGACAACTGAAAATACAAGTAGAGCACGCCTATAGATATTTTATGCGTTGGTACAGAATTAATAGTAAACTATAAAAATTATAAATTTTATCTATGAGCTACAATTTATTATTGTATGAAGTTTTAATATTAACCAAACATAAATATAGTTGGACGCCAATACGTGATTATATTATTAAAATAAAGAATTCAAAGCACGCAACAATTTATCCTCTTTAATATAGTATATATAGAAAACAATGACAATGGTCACCACACCTTTAAGTATTTGTCAATGTGGTAACAATTCATTTTATATTAATCGTCAACCCACTATGATCCTATTCATGAGAACAGAAATTTTATAATGAGCGTAATAACGAATAATATTGTAAGCAAGAAGATCGATAATTTTTAAATATTTAAACAGTTAAAAAATATATTTTACCATCAATGCAAGGATAAGAAGGTATTGTATTTACCATAATATGTATTTTTTTTGTGTTTATCCATAAAAGTTCTAAACCTTCATTGATTAAAGAAAAATATTTAAAAAATTGATTAAAAAAAAAAAAGTATAAAATTTAATGAAGATCATAAGTTTGTATATATTAATTTTTGTTATGTTCAAAATAAAAGCATGATATTATTTTGATGCGTAGCTGTGATGTTGGTTAATTAAATTTAAATTGTAATTTTAAATGAATACTATTAATTATGTATTTTTATTAAATAAAAAGCTTTATATCATTTCCGAATTGAAAATCAAAGTTTTAATTCATACATTTGTCAAAAATTATAGTTGTAAAGAAAATCAACTGGTTATAATCGGGCAAAGGTGCATATTTTTTATTTTTCTAACTTAAAATACACCGTATAAGTCTTAGTTTAATTTAAGTTTAGAGAACATAAGTTTTTGAAAACATTATTGAAAACTGATAAAAATAAAGAGCTTGAAATTAAGAATATACTGATATTTTTAAACCCCTCATACATAAACTTAATGAGAGTATTAGTTGTAAAAGTTTTTTCTTTTCATGTAGTTTTTTACTTAGTTTTTGATTATATAACTATTTTAAATAAAGTACATCAATATTAGATCAATATTAAGCTAATTAGAGGAAATATTATTTTACATTGAAAATTGAACTAAATCCAAAAATTATCGTCATGTCGTTATGGTTACAATCATTAACAACAAAAGCGAAAGAAGTAAACATAAGCGATAGATTGTATGGGTAGTAACTAAGATCGAGTCATATACTTGCTCTAGAAATAAAAAATATAACCTCACATTAAATAAATATTTACATATAAAATATATAATATATATATATAAATATCAAAATTAAACTTTATTAAATAAAATTTTGTTTTTTTAATATTTAAAATTTCAAATGGACCGTAAAATGGCTTTTGAAAATTATCGAAAACGAGTTGAAATTCCACAGGGACTTGATTATTTAGCAGATAAATTAATTCGAGCAACTATAAGAACTCGACCAAAAAATGTGAAACAATTTGCGGCAGAATTTTTTGATAATCTTATAAAACAACGAGAAAGTAAGACAATATTTGTTTTTATAATTTAACTTAAACATACATTTTTTAAAATATTGTAATAGACTAGCTTTTGTTAATACAGTTATAATGAACGTGTATTTATAATATTTATCTATTCGCCCTTTATAATATTGTTTTTATACTTTAGGGCATTATAAAAATCTGTAGCTTTGATTAGAAACATAATAAATGCGAAAATGATGTTTAGATTTTACAATCATCACAAACAATTTTGACTTTTATTATAATTTTAAAATTTTTCTAATAAAATGTGATACTATGTTTTATTAAATGTTTGACTATCTATGTTTAATAGTTGCGTTTGATTTATCCAATTAAAAGGGTAGTATTATACCAATATTATTAATTTGCTTTTATATGTATATATTTTTTATAAATCTGACCCTTTACCTGTCCACAGGGGGGAATTAAAAAGAAATATTATTAATTTTTATGTAACTCATTTCGTATTGTATTGTATACAAGGTGATTTATTAAGCATGCGTCACACATAATATTAAAAAATATGAAACATATTAATTTTTTTTATTTTAGAAATTAATAATATCCTTTGTTCTACAATTTTTAAATTTAGACCTTTTCCTCCCTCATAACTTTAAAATAGTATCAACTTGAGATTTTTTAGCTTCGAATTTTTTAGCTAAAAATATGAAGTGTTTTGCTCAAAATATGATATACATATTTGATTGATTATATCGATCATCCATTTTCCTAATAAGATCATTTTTAACTTCGATGCGAAGCTGAGGGTATTGGTTTTACTATGATGTGTATTTTATTTGTCTGTTACCACATTTTCTCAACGCTGACCGAACAATTTCTTTCAACGATACATCAAAAGATCACAAATCGTATCTAGTCAAAGAAATTACCCTCAAAATTGAAAAAAATTTCCTCGTTCCCCGTAAATGAGGGAAACTTTCGTAAAAATTATAAATTTTAAAATCGCTAATTTTCGACAATTTTTAAATTCTTTTTTCTTAAAATTGCCATAATTTTTAAAAAATGAACAAATCAATATAATTTTTTTTTATAGATACCTTAGGTATTTACCTATCATTTGATATATTTTTTTTATAAATCTGACTCTTTACCTGTCCACAGGGAGGGATTTAAAATGACAATTTTTTCATAAAAAATTAACTTTTTCAACTGAACTTTTGAAAGTGTTCCGGTATCTCTGATAATTTATATATGTCTTAAATTAAATCTAATGTAATGTACTTAACTATGGAAAAAAAAAATTTGGGAATATATTTTGTCTTCACGGTGAAAATGGCTACCAATAGCAATTTTTGTGTGAAAATTCTCGATTTTATATTTTACATTTTTTATATGTTTTTAAAATATAAGAAGTAGTATTTATATACATATTTCATTCGACATACTTTTTTTTAAATCAGACCATTTCCCTATATACGGGGGATTATTCAAAAAGCTACATGATCTGCTATTTCCTTATTTATATCCTGATTAAGATAAAGTATATCGAATGAAAGATTTATATAAATACTACTTCTCATGTAAAAATTGTATTAATCCATTCCTTTTTTAATAAGATATAGCATTAGAAAGTTAAAAATGTAAAAAATAAAATCGAAAATTTTCATACAAAAATAGCATTTGGTAGCCATTTTCACAGTGAAGACAAAATAAAATCCAAAATATTTTTTTTCCATAATAGAGAAAATGACATTAGCTTTAATTTAAGATATATATAAAAGTGTCACACTTTCCGGAACACTTTAAAAAGTTAATTTTTTGTGAAAAAGTTGTCATTTTTAATCCCCCCCTATGGGCAAGTAATAGGTAAAATTTATAAAAAAAATATATCAAATGATAGGTAAAGACATTATACATCTATAAAAAAAATTATATTGATATAATCATTATTGAAAAAATTTCGAAAATTAGCGATTTTTAAATTTGTAATTTTTTTTAAGATTTCCTCCATTTACGGGGAACGAGTGAAATTTTTTCAATTTTTGAGGATAATGTTTTTGACTAGATACGATTTGTGATCTTTTGACGTATCGTTGAAAGAAATCGGTTTGGTGTGAGCTAAGAAAAAGTGGTAACAGACACAAAAAAAAAAAAACTAGTAGTAAAACCAATACCTTCTCAGCTTCGCATCGAAGTTAAAAATGATCTTACTAGGATAATGGCTTATCGATATAATCAATCAAATATGTATATCATATTTTGAGCAAAACACTCCATATTTTTATAAAGAGAACATTTTTCATAATATTATTTCCTATTTTTAACTTGATATACAATAGAAAAAGTAAAAGTAGCACAGAGGAATATAAAGTTTAAAAAATTTAAACTTTATCAATTTTAAATATCACAATTATTTGTTGAATTTCCCTCATTTACTGGGAACTAGGAAAATGTTTTCAATTTTTAAAAGCAATGTCCAAAATTAGATACGATTTGTGATCTTTTTATGTAAAGTTGAAAGAAATTAGTCCAGTAGGAGCTAAGAAAGAGTGGCGACAATCACAAAAAAATACACATAATAGTAAAATTAATGTTTTCTCAGTTTCGCATCGAAGCTAAATAACAAATTAATAAAAACTTATTTTAAAATTTCAAATTTTAAGCTTAAGTATAAACGTTTTACTTAAACGGAATTATACATATCAGATGTTTTTATTATTATTTTAAAGTCAAATTTTTCAGTTTTTTTTTTTTAACAAGAGTAATAAAATGATTCAATATTCTATTTATTAAGAAATTAAAGATGCAATGAAAAAACTAGAAGAGGCACATAGATTCAAATTAATGATTTTGAAGAAAAAGTTGTTACAAACGAAATTACTGTCTTCTGAAACGTTTATAAAATAAAGAGTAAATGTAACTTAGTAGTAAATGATGACGTTCTAAAAATAAATTTGTATTATAGTGTAGTTAAGGTGGGGGTTACACCTTTCTTTTTAAAGTGATTGTATACTATTATATGCTATACACTGTATAGCAAATAATTAACTAAAAAAAAATTATATTTTTTCAGTAAATTTCATTAATATTTATATAATTCTTTAGCAAAATGAGGTAACTTAGAAATATTATCAATTTTACAATATATGAATTGTAAGTAAAAGACAGAATTAGTATACAAAGAAAATTAATTTTTTGGAGTACAACATTTATCACAAATGCAAATTAAATTCAGTTGTAACAAACAATGAGTAACAATATAATTTGTTTGAACTTTTAAATGGAAGAATGATGTGCTAAATCTAAGTATACTTCATGAGGGTGTGGACTCCTCTAACATTTTGATACCCATTTTGAAAATGATAAAATAATTATGGGTAATATAGGGCAACAATGATAATATAGTTATTTTTAAAAATTGATGGAATATTTTTTTTCTACTTTTTAACATCGATGTGAAAAAGAGAAGGTATTGGTTTTACCATATTATATGTTTTTTTTATGTCTGTTCATGAAAATTCACAACTACCACTGAACCATAAAATAATATAGAGATGATGCTTCTTATCTCTGTCGTGTAACCTTTTTAAGAAAAATGGACGGTCATTCACCTTGGCTGAGTCACTTTGATGTCAGCATTCTCCTCTAGATCGCAGTGCAAAAAATCATGTTTTTAAATAGTTGTCGGTAAATAATTTATTACAGTTTAAATTGGTGTGCATTACTATTTTTTCAATAAATATAATTATTGAAATTTTTTAAATTAATTATGCAAATTTATTTTTTGTGTTCGTATTAGGAATGAAATTTCCAAATAAAAGAACATCACATTCCACAGATTAAATTTTTAAATAACTATTTTTTGTAAATTCTCAAAAATATTTTTTTTTTAAGAATCCCACCCAATCACACAAATATTGTGTTATTAGTATTCTATATAATTATACAAAATATTATTGTAACTTTTTTTATTTTATATTTTCTACTGACAGTCTTTTTCTTTCTAAGTGGAATGAATTCTTATTAGAAAATAAAAAGGACTATCAAAAAGTTACCGATAATACATTACTTTGCTCTGAACGTTTTCAGTCTTATAAAAACACTAGGTCTTTGTGTAAAACAGCTGTGCGACAATTTCTGTTTGTTTGCATTAAAAATGTAAGAATATTTTATTCTGTTTCTTGCAAAATGTAATTACCGTTAACAATTTTTTTTTTTTATTTGATTAAATATTAATTTTCTATATTGATGCAATACATAATAATAATAATTACTCATTTAGTATTTAAAGAACAATTTAGGTTGTGTATGCAAAATACTTTTTGTTCAATTGTGACATTTAGTTTTTCATTTTCTGATTATTTTTATTATTAGGCCAAATTGTTATATTATCCTGAGGTTGTGTTCTATTAGATGCTTCACATATGACAAAACTAGTGCGAAACTCTTTTGTTGAATAAAAAATTTTCATAGATAAAAATGATAATACTACTGATTTTAATTTTATTTATGAACTGTTTATATTATAAGAACAAGAATGATGCTATTTAGCAAATGAACTTAGAAAGAAACACATACATATTTTTATAAACCAAAAATTAAAAGTAAAACTTGCAACACAGTTACTTAAGTCAGTCGGTTGCTAATACTCTTAGATTTTGTAAATACAATTTAAATACTATGTTATCCCAATCAGAGAAGAATGTTATGTAATGATTAATTTTTCCAAACAAATAATTATTTATATTGCTGGTTTTGAGTTCATAAACTATGTTTAATAATTAAGTGTCCTTGTGTTTCTGCACTTTTCTTCTAATAAAGAAGACTTTTTACATTCTATTATTAGTTAAAAAAAATAGGAATGGTATCATGGTGGTTTATGTTACCCAAGTGATGTTCTATGAATATTATGTTTTGAAACAGGTTTTGTTTTAAGGAGTCTTGACTATAAACAAAAGCTGTCAATATGTTATATGTGAAATAATTATGATATAATGCAAACTATGCAAGTATGAACTTTTAGTGGATTTGCATAT